CGACATATGTTGGTGACATGGACCTTTTCACCTCTCCATTCTTGGGAAATGTGTGAAAAATAATATTCCTCTTGTGTTTGTAACTTGCGTAACAACCATACACTGCACAATGACTGGCCATGGACCCACACGTTTATAATCCCACTCCAAACATCACAATTGAAATCAATTATTAAGACATTAAGGAGGTGCGTGCACTTCTTGTATACTTTCAAAGTGTACTGAGCTGGATCTTGGGCAGGTGGGCTAGGGGAGCGTCTGACGTCTTGCGCATGAATGGTCTCGTTTTCGTCCAAGGGTGAGCAGACCTGTAGGTGTTTAGACCTTGTTCGCGGTCACCCTTCGGAGTTAAGATATCCTGCATGTAAAAGTAGGGGACAACATGCCTGGTATGGCGTTTCCAACATTATAAACTTTAAACTGTTTATTGTTGGACTTTTGAGATTATTCAACATAAAAATGTTCTGTAACTTTCTCGATGAAATTCTCGGAGACACGTCAATCACACCAGTTTATACCTTCACTCGTCGCGAATGTTCCTTCAACACTCCCAGCCTTCCAGGGACCCAGTTTACCAGCTGACTGACAACAATTATGAGGTCGGTCAATCTTTCCAATGTTCGCCACCCCATAATTGGCTTTTTTATTGTATTTTGTTGATTTACTCTTTGAGTCTTAACGCACTCACTGATTTATATACGAGTATATGCAATATAATCTGTGTGTAGGTATAAAGTGAGCCTGTGTTGTGGTCCAGAACACACTGTGGTTTATATACGTGTTCTATAATATTGTTCTTTCTAGGGTGTATCCTTGACCCATCTGCTGAGTTGGTAAACGCATTCTGCTTACTATACCCTGTACTAAACTATTTCCTTCCTGTGGTGGCGTCACGTTAGTGTAAACTTCCTGTCGGTTTCACCTGTAATCTTTGTTTATAGTTCACAATAGTTCACATTACCTGTATCATACACCTCTTGGGAGTTTCACTTTTTTATGAACAGAACGGTATTAAACTTCATGTACACAGAATGTTCAGTATTATTTGTTACATGTATGTTATAAAGCACTAAAGATTTACCTTACGAGATGCTTAAAGGGCACTGATAATGACACAGTGATCTATTGGGTGTGTGAACTTGTAGTTCATAGTTGTTGCTTAATTAATGATCATGATAGATAATGATGCATTGATCGTGTGTTTACTGCTTAACAGTAAACTAGCGGAGAAGGTTGGCTGTTAGTGGTGGCGAAGGCCAATTTCTTGAACATTCATTATAAATAAAGAATTGTATTTTTTTTCCAGTTGTCTAGTAAGTCTGCACATGTGTCCGTTATATGTATTTAACACACACAGTGTACCGCGAGTTTGTGTCTGTAGTCGATGCATTTCTTTGGAGTTCAGTGCGCAGCAATACCTGTTTCATGACTTATTTCACTGTCAGCGTTAGAAAATACTGTAACTTAGTTCGTCATAGTCCTACTCTTGTCCCACCTTTTTTTCACGATTATCCTGTATGTCTTATTATGATAGCAACTTTTAACTTAATGATGTATCTTTCTTTCTTTCACACACACACACACACACATTTAAATATATATTTACTTCAATGCATTTTATTTTTGATTTTCCACCATATATTTGGTTTAAATTATTTATTCATTCATTCGATTATTAGTTCATGAGTTTGTTTACTTGTCACTTTCCACGCAGTATTGTCTTCCTCTGTCCGTTTGTTTCATTTTATATTCTAAATGAGTTTGAGTTCACCCTCCCCCTTCTCCATTGGGCAAGGTAGGTCCCTACTCATTTTAGTTTCAAAAGTGCCGTCAGAAATCATAAATATGACCAGTGACGATAATACTTGTTCCTGTGTCATGACGCAGGTTAAGTTTAGGTGTTGGTGGGGTGTTATGCAACGTTCCTGTTAGTCTTGTTATATGGATACTTTTGTGAAATAGAGTTGAATGTAAGACGATTTTTTTAATTTACATAACCAATGCATCATACAAGACAGTGCTGTACCACAAGAGAAAAATATAATGTTTTATTTTTCCTCTCTGGGAGTGCAAAATGAGTACCGGTTGACGTCGGTGACAACAAAAGGAATGGAACACCATGTCATCGATTACGCCAAAAGTAAACGATATTACTGAGCGAGTGCTTACTTCACTGGGTTCCAATGCTTGGTCAGCTGGGCCTTTCTTTGTTATCACTGATATCTAAATTAGGGACAAAGTTCATAATGTTATTGTAATCGAGGATTACCGATACAGAATACTTAGGGATCACTTAGGGAGTACCTGAGGATCAAAATTGGAGAGTACAATATTTAAAGGTTAGTTCAATGGAGTATTTATAAAACCGTTATATAATAACATCAGAGGGGGTTAGGATACAACATGTGCTTTAATTTGTTTTAATTAATACCAGGATTATAGGGTTTATGAGTAGAAAAATAGCTTTGCAGTTACCTAAAGAATGCAGTGCAAGGTATCATTATTCCGATAATTTAAGCAATTTTAGTCGTTTTTGCAATTACAGTATATTTTGTTAAATTGGTATTTATGTATTCAGAAATAAGATAACTTATAAAAATTAAGCAATCAAAATTTACTCTCATGTACAGATGAGAACTCTTCTAGCTTTTTGAGTCTAGACTATCACTTCCATACTCTACTGATATCGTGCATCTTTAATTTTTATTAAGAATTATAGGCGTAGGAGGCGGGTATTCGAATCCTAAGTCAACCTGTGTCGGTCCATTTTACCTCAGGATTAGAAGGGAAAACTGTGAACTGAAATTATTTTCTTTGACCACTGGTATGGCTGTATACACCTCTGCTAGCTCAATAATTGTAGGTTATGGAAATGTCAATCTGAGGCTCTTGGGTGACATCTGTTTTATTGGCTGGACCCCCAGAGACTATTTATCTCATACACCCATGGAAAGGATAAACTAAGATGATAATTAACGAGTCTAGTGATCTGCTTAATCTTTTTTAATGTTTTGTCTTATATTTCAATGCCCAAAGAGGTCTTACCGTTATATAACATTACCGGTGTGATTCTGACAGTCCTGCTTGTCGGAATCTATTTTTATTTTTTGTCAATGTCACTCGTTTCAGCCATCCCGATTCCTCTAAGAAAGTTTTTTTATGGTCTAAGAAAAGTCCCTGGCATTACTCAGGACATCGGTGTCAGCATTACGTACGCATGTTTGATCAAAACCTTGAGCCAGCTAAATTCCTCAGGACCGTATACCAGTTATAACCAGATAAACAACCTCCATCCAGGTGTGTGTGGGGGGGAAGAGGAAGGTGGGGGGAGAAAGGGAGTGTTTGGGGAGGGAGGGAAAGGGGAAGGTGTGGAAGGCACGTGGGAGTTGTGTGTGGGGAGAAGGGGGGGGGGGTTGCGACGTGGTTTTAACTAGATGTGTACTCGATTTACCACACTGGGGAAAAATTTTATGCTTGAATCTCTGAGAATGCGGAGCAAGGCGAGAGGGCGACGAAGTTTAACGTCTTTGGTGAGAGGACGGTGAGCGCCTTTGCCTGGATCTTGGATTTACTTTACTCTTCGCGTATTTGAATAATCGTATCACCTGGAGATTAAGTACCTCGGTTTATTTCATGTGAAGATTAATCACCCATGCGCTACAAGGTTATGTTCGGTTAATTTAGTGTTAGGGTTTTTAATCTTCATTTGAAATAAGCTGTGGTGCCTAATCTTCAGGTGATCCGAATAATCGAATAACGTATCATCTTCAAATATAGTTAAATAATCCTCATGTACTGTACACAGATAAATACTGTAGTAATTGCCAAAATTAGTTGATTAATAAAGAAATAATAAAAAGCTGAAAATAAAGCTAAGAAATAGAAACTAATTAATACTAATATTAGACATAAGGGTATGTTAAGTTTAAATAAATAACTACGGATAATTTCTCTGGTTTTGCAAACGTGTGTGCAGTAGGCAAGTAACTGAGTCCAAAGAGTAAAACGGAATAAAAACAACAGCCAAGTTCAACAAAGATCAAGAGAGAAGGACATGAAACACAGAAACAACTAATGTTGAACTATGAAGAAATAAATTAATAATTTAGTCATTTAGAATTTAAAACGCAGTTGGTGTACTAGAGGCAGGGGTAGGTGTTGGGGTAGGGCCAGGCAGGGTAATGAGACACGTGCGTAGGTATGCTTACCAGTGGTGTCTTGCTATAACCGGCCGGGGACCCCGATTTTTTTTCTCGAGAAAAATGGAGGTTTAAGTCAGGACCTCCTGACTGAATTACTCTGAATAGGCAAAGTGTACTTCAGGATTTGTCAATAAATTTGCTAAACTAACTAAACGTCATCATTACTCTTCTGGCTCAATAAGAAAAGAAACACTTAAGAGACAGGCCCGGGGAAGAGAACAGAATTACTTCGCTGATGTTTTACAGAGCATTTCTGAAGCTAAATTATATGTTGGGGGAACGCAGATGAAAAAAGTAGTTGAAGAATTCTCAATGTCAATGTTGCAACTATGGATTCAAGCGCGCGCTCTAGGCATGATATACACTAAGATGATGATCAATTATTTGTTGCTTAAGTTTGTTATATTCTTTTTGAAAACTAAAACACGACTTTGATTCTTATGTAATGTGTTCAAGGTTCAGTACAATTAAAACTCTATTTAATAGGCTATATCCTAATACTACAAAAACTTAATACATGTAATTATTTAACCAATGGAGGACAATTAAAGTGCAACAGTTTACTCTGAGGTACAACAAGAATGCAATAAAGTACAATGACCTCGTCAACAGTCATGAATGTTTAAAATAAACCACGAATTCATATTTTTCATAAAATTTTTCAAGTAAAATTAACCAACTCGATTAAAAATAATGTACATAAATAAACATAATATAATTACAAATAGCATAGTATGGTTTTAATTATTATTACTTTGAGGAATTTATGTATTAGTTATGTTTATTTATTCGTGGTAATATACTAACAATATTTACCATTATCAAAACAAAGTTACGTGAAGTGATTAAAGTTTCGTGAAAAATTTAAAATAAATTTGTTTAAAGACGCCCCGAGTATATGGACACAAGATATAAGCGATGATGATGTTAAGATGTAAGTATATTACCCTAATGTTTGTTAATGATGGTATAAAGTTAGTCTTACCAAATTTTGAACTCTCAAAGAGGTAAAGGTGTATCAACAAATGTATTGATGTGTACTTCATACAGCAGTAATACAACGAGTAATAACGTGAGTATAGTGTACTACATGTCGTATACATTGAGTAACTATGGTAAATGGGGTCAACTTTCACTAATGCACCGGTCTTTGTTTGTATATTAAAAATATATTTTTCTGATGTTATTTGTTGAGTTTCGAACGAATTTGATATTCATTTCAGCCGGAAATCAATAGTTTTTGAGATCCCCCCCCCATCAATCTTAATGATTTTTTTTCTCAGTAAATCACAAATAAAAACCCAACAAAACCAAACCTAACCTAACACTATTTTTCTGATGAAACTCTGCAATTGAAGTAAAATAATCTATCACAATGTCGGTACATCTCTTTCCACCTGTTAAGCCATGTCTGGTTATTTAGGTACTGAAAAATCAAATCTCCGCTCCTGACGCATTGTTCATTGGTTAAGACAAAAAACTCTTGCCCAATTATAAGTCTCCTATCGCTTAGAATTGTCTAAACATTACGAAAACATATTAATAACAGCGAGTGAAAGACCGGTGCATGACTGAAATTTCACCTGGTAAATTTTTACTTTCGAACATGAATCCCTAGGGGTTGACCAATATGTTTTTCTTGTGTATTTTTGTGTGTTTTAAACGAATATGACCTTCATTTTGGGTGGAAATTGATAACCCCCCTCCCCCAAACCCAACGATAATGGGGGAAAACCTGGGAAATAGGGGGTTTTGGGTAGGGGAGAACACAAAAACGAATCATCTAACCAAACCTAACCTAACCAAACCTAACCTAACCTAACCTAACTAAGCCAAACCAAACCTAACCTTTGGGCTGTGCCATGTCCGAAGTACAATACCTTAGTTAGAAGTCTGAGATCACGTATTTAAAAATTTTCGTGTTCTTCTTCTTTACAACCCTTCTTGGCCAATTACAAAACCACTGATGATTGTCCTTTCTAAATTTACAGGGTAATTTACAGTGCGGGCACTCAACAGACTTAGGGAAAACACCGTGATTACGTAGAAATTATATAGCTTTATCGTCTCTTTTGTAAAACTTGGTAATAGACTTAAAATAATCATACCAGCACGACTGACACCCAACCTCGACCATGGTCATTGAATTTCCAAGCCGTAGATTTTCAAATCCTTACCCAGGCTGCTTTGAAAAATGCAAATGTGATTAGTCAATAAAAAATTTCAGGGCTGATATCGATACATCATGGGTCACGACTGGATGACGTCAGTCAGTAGTGTGCCTGCGTGATCCACAACTAACTCGGTTTCATATCCTGACAGATGAAGACTGAAAAGTTCCTAATATCAATTAAATTCAATTGTGTCACTATTATCCATTTCTGCCATGTATATATGGGGTTCAAAATGCCCAGAATAGGGAGATCTAAATGATTAAGAAGTTTATAACTTTCGGGCGCTATGTCCGAAAGTAAAATAATACCCACCAATATATTCAGCAAGTAAAACTGCTCTAGAAAAATGTTTAAAAAGATAATTGTATTAATGGGTTTGCGTGGAATAAATACTTTTGTTTCCCTCAGTGATTTATGAATGAATTTAAATGTCTAACGAGATGAGTGAATATAAATGGCGGAAGAGAAGTACTACTGAGAGTATAGTTTAAAAATGGCGGAGTTGTGTTATTTGGGGGAGATTTACTACCATATAGTTTCCTCACGTTTAAAAGAACGCATTTTGTTGTAAATTAAGATTTGTTTTAGTAAATTTGTGTTAATACATAAAATTAAAGATGTTTTTAATAGACGGGATTGAATTACTGAATAATAATAGAACAAATGACATTGATTTTATGATTTTGTTATTGAATGAAGACGTTTTAAAATATTTATTTTTTTATAAACATTTCTGGCTAATTGAGGTGACTGTCAGCATTTCGGTATTTTTTTATTTATTTATTTACTTTTTTTACTGTTTTGTACACAGATTATGTTCAGTTCTCTTAATTTTTTGTGTAAATGCTTAGTTTTCTTGAAATAGGCAAGTTAAATATAGGTTACCACATGATTTCAGGTATTTTTATATTTTTCTCCAACATAATACAGTACAGGTATCTTCTAGTAAAATCGGTGAAAACTGGGTATTTTTAAACCCATGTTCCATCAAAAACAGTGGATGGTCATTATCCGAATAATTAGCAAATTTCTTTGCGTATGATTTAAACACATTTGGATAATAACTGAAGGTACTATAGAATGTTTTCAAGGCAGCTTTGTGTTGACGTAAAGTTTTTAAATACAAGATTATGAGAACTAAAACTTTTAGGTCTTGATGTGGTAATTATTCAGAATGTGACAGTCCGCTGTTTTTATTGAAAATGGGTTTAAAAATACACAGTTTTCACTTATTTTATTAGAGGTTACTGTATTATGTTGGGGAAAAATATAAAAATAGCTGAAATCATGTGCTAACCTAACCTATATCTTAACTCGCCTATAAGCATTTACACAAGAAAATGAAAAGAACTTAAAGTAATCAGCACACAAAACTGTGTCTAAAAACACCCCCAATAATTACCAAACCACTGACGGTCTTGGCTCATTCTTTAGCCCTTGACATATACTGTTATATAAGTTATATTAAGGTTATGGTATTTTTTTTTTACAAAATAACGTAGATTTTTCTTAGAAAATGAATTCTAAAATGCCACAATTTCACTGTTTTGCGGTGGAGACTGTTGTAGTTTGGGCAAATGTGTTAAAACATGGTTATTTGTAAATTAAACCTAACCTAACCTTAAATGATAAACACAAGAGGCCAAAGCATTGTTATTAGACCAAACCAACCTAACCAAGGAAATCTACTTAACATTACCTAACTTCCTGAATATTAACAGAGAACTTATTCTGATATTGTGTAATTTTACGTTTTTGGTGAATGTGAAAGAAGCTGTTCGGACCGAGCAGCTCAACAAACACTGACCAGAGGATAAAATAGTGCCTAGATCAGGTTGTCTTACTGATTATCTACTATAATAAGCATTTTCCCATGAAATGAATATCCTATCTGAACTCAGCAATGAAAATATAGTAAGAAAAGATCTATCAAAACAAATACTGCCATATAAGCTATATTTAGATTATTCCTGATGATAGTTTTGTCAGGTTAGGTAAGTAACAGTAACTTGATATCCACACAACAGGCAGTAGATGTGACCTGTATTTTCACTGTGGATATTTGTCCAGTTGTCAGTTAGGTAGGGTTTTTTCCGAACACCAGAAGGATTTAATAGAAATGGATGAAACATTGAGGTAATATTAATTACATTCTATTAAATAGATACGTAAATTGAAACTAGAATCCAGTCAGTGTCAATTATGTTTTAAAAGGTTTTTCTGTTAAGTTTGGTAGTTTACTTTAGGTAAGATTGGTTACGTCAAGTTCTAATAGGTTCTGTGCATTTTCATTTTCCTTTATCTATTTAATAAACTGTCAAGAATTTCCACTAAGTTTTGTCCCAGTTTATGAACTCCTTCTCTTTGTAGTCTAAGAAAACTACCTAACCTGACAAATATACACAGCCTTTATTATTTGAGGAATGACAGCTTCAAGTAACATGTAGTGCAGGTTTGTCTTGATTCATTGTGTGTATTGATCCCTGTGACTTAATGGACGTATTTTTCAGATCTTGTGGTGATGCTGAAGCTTGGATGACATGGCCTTGGCTCCTCTGGTGGATGTCTTCATCACCAGTGTAAGATGCCATAACTAGGGTTTGTTGCATCCACCTGTCCCATATTTAATATTTTACTGCATTATTCACCTTTGACACAAACCCTGACTGACTGACTTAGCAAAGAATTTTACTCCCTTGCTACCTTACTGTGGGCTCCTCACTGGTGCCTGTGCTGCTTTCCACAGATGATGCCAGTGTGATCAGTTGTATATATGTGACTGTACTGCACCATGTTTTATTATATTTAAACATGTGGCAGGTCTGATATTGACGAAATATTTGGTACTGTGTTGGTGGATGTGGTTTACAGTTATAGCCAAATCATTTGATATATTTGAGGCTACTGTATATTTTTACATTTCCTAAAGACTTATAATTATAACCTTTGTCTTTAATTATGTCATTCTCTTTTCTAACAATTCCAGATTTATGCTGTATTCTTGATTTATTTTTAAATTTGTGCTTTTTCAAAATAACTTTGTAATTTCAGGAATTTTATTTGAATCCCTTGAAAATTCTCCACAGCTTATTAAACCTAAATATTAACCACTGTAATTTTGACTTTCAGGTAATGTCTGCTGAGGGGGAAATCTTCAGGTGATCTTTTTAATACTGTACTGTACCTTCCATGTCCAGTTTCATGAATATTGTACCTAGCAGTGTTGTTGGTACATGTCCTGGTTATGAACAAATAGTCAGGTTCTCATTTTATTTTATTTATTTTTTTTTTTTTTCAACAGGATGGCAAGTTATTCAGGCTGTTGGAATAATTCGGCCAATGAACTGTCATATTCAATTCACACCATTTGCTCGATGGCTTTTATATTAACAAGCTGTGACTGTCGTGATCCATCTAGTTAATGGAGTACATATTGCTTCTACTTAAACCATGTGAACTTTTTGCTCCATTTTTTAACTGTGTGAACAAACTTTGTGAATGTTATGTTCAGTCCACCTGCCCCCAGCCAGGGTTGTCCTGCCATCTTTGTTGTAGGGTTTACTCTTGCCAGGCCAAGAGGTGCTGTAGTTCTGGGGAAGTTTACAGCAATGATTACAGTACAGTTTCTCCTCGACTTACTACAACCCAAACAATGACGGCCATGGTCGTATAAAATATTTTTCACATTACATATTTTTGAGTCTTGACGTTAGTGATCATGCTGTGTACTGAAAAAAATTTTGTTTGTAATTCCCTTTAAAATGACTGGCAAGCATAAAAGTGAGAGTTCTCGTGGTGCTGAGAAGAAAAAGAGACACCCATATTAGAATTTCTACGTATTATTTTCTACTCTTCGACTTACAACCTAGTCGTCGGGACGGAATTCCGTCGTAAGTCGAGGAGAGACTGTATATAGTATATAGTAAATTTCTTATAAGTTAAATTGTGTATACAGTAATACCTCGCTTTACGCAGTCAATTGAAACCACGGAGGCCCGCGTAAAGTGAACAACAGAACATATGGGATTAATTGAAATAGAGACTGGGCCGACCCCCAAACTCCACTTTTTCAGATACAATACCTACGTTGTAGTAAAAATAACTTCTTAATTTTATGATGGTATGCACACACAATTAATAATTAAGAGAAATATCAATAATATTAGGTTTTTTAACACTTACATGAGTAGAAAAGATGGCTGGGCACACAGGGATAGGGGGGTTGGTTCCGAGGCAGAGGGCAGATTATTGGCCCTCACCTGTATCACTTTCCACCACAGAGGCTTGCAGGGCCTCTTTGTCAAACCCCTCAAAGTCCATATCCTCACTATCACTGACTTGGGCCGACTCTGGTGGGTGAAGAACTCGGTAATGTTTTGATGACTAGGCGACCTTGTGCGCACCCTGCCCGCCCCGCTTCCCGCGTATACGAGTAGATGCACCGCATAAAGTGAACATTCTGGTGGGGTACAGCTTAAATGTAGAAACGCGTGAAAAAAAAAATGCATAAAGCTGGGTATTACTGTACTGTAGAAAGCTGTAGTGTCTTCATGATTTATTATGTATACTATTAGCAGAATGCTGTAGTGTCTGCATGATTTAGTATGTATAATATACATTACTGTACTACATGTATTTTCCTCTGAAAGTACTGTACTGTATAGTACAGGTACACCATCGATTTTTCGGCACCCTTGGTTCCAAAGCCTTGCCGGACTATCCGTTTTGCTGGACCAACCGAGGTCAAGTAATAATAATTCAACAGTACACCTGTGACCCACTAATTATACACCTCCTGTGTCTCTAAAGCACCATGGACTGCCAGAAACTTAAATTAAACAAATGTTATATGTAAATTAAATGTGAATTAAATGATTTAATGTAATACATTATTATAAATGATACAGGTTTATTAGTACAGTATAAATGAAACAGGTTTATTAATTACTGTACAGTACTTACAAAGAATGTTGCCTGTACTACTGTTCCCAAAGTGGCAAATTTTAGAATTTTACTGGACGTGTAGAGTTAATCACAAAAGTCTGGAAGTTGAGGGCAACGCCATCTGTGACCACCCAGTAAACTAGTCTGGCAGTTGCAGGAATTTCAAGTGCCCTCTCGTAATTTTGTCCGGACTCAACGAAGTGGCAGACCATCAGTTCCCAGAAAATAGGTGGTGTACCTGTACATTGAAAGGCCTTCTTAACTTGTGTAGTGGACATTATTTAATACACTACTGCAGTTGTATTAGTTGTAGGGTTTACAATTTGTACAATCTAGGATTACCCTGTAGTAGTTTGTGCTTGTACTGTACATGTCTGAATCTTGTCTGTTCTGTATAATGTGAGTTTTTTCAGTTTGAGTAACAGCTTGTGCCATTGTTGTTGGTGTGGATGTTGTATACAGTACAGTATGTGGTAAATGTAACCTCTGAATATAATTGTGCTGAAATGTTGTGTATAATATTCTGAATGCTGGAGGCAGTACAGGTACACGTGTTATGCTGGTGCATTGTGCATGTCTGTTCATGAGAGTTAAGGTCTACAAATGAATGGCTGTCATGTCTTGTATGTGATAATTGTCTTTCATATTTTATCTCAAATTGAAAAAGAAAAACTTGAAATAAAACTGAAAATATTCAACTCAATAGGATACCAATATTCTTGAACTCAAACTTCTTCATTACAGAAGAACTCCTGGATGACTGTCTCTCTGACGCCCAACAAGAAACAGAGCCAGCCGAGGGGGCTGCTATAGGACTGACTACTTGGATTAATTGCAGAACAGTGAATGCAGGTAACTCTCTCCCTATAAGTTTGCTAGTTATTGGAGTTCTTTTCTTCATCTACAGATTTAATTCATCATGGTACAATGTCTGGGGTTTTAGGTGCAATAAAGTCATCACCCTGCATAGTCCCCTTGGCAGGAAATAATGATCCTTGATGTTGGGGTTAGTACATAAAACTGTATAATATAAAGTAATAGGGGTAAATGAGATGGATGTCACTGGGTCTTGTTGTGAATTAAATCATAAAATTATTCTGAATTTGAATGCTAGTTGTAAGCCAAAGTGTTTTACAGAGGACAGGGGAGCCCTGGGATGCTGTGTCATGGACCTAGTGGATATATATCTTCAGCAACAGGTCAGTGGCCCACTTGTCTTATGACTTGCCCTCAAAGAATTAGTTAAGGAAATCCACTAAATCATCATGATTAAGTGTATTTGGCTTTGGTTGCAAATTTTGGTCATAAACACTGTATAATATCTCCATAGCCAGAATCCCTCTTAGCTGGAAATCTCCGATACCCGGAAGATAAATTGTTTCATAATTTTCCTGAAAATTTACGGTCTGGATATATTGCCCTTTAGTGCGGTCACTTAATACAAATTTTTTCTGAACTTCTTAATTTAAGGTTGCTGCCACCAAACCACAGGACAGTATGTGTAGTGTTCTTTAGGTAGCTGGCAGAGCAATCCAGGCACTGAGAGTTCATGTTTTTCATTAATCAAGTTGAGTGTGGAAGGAAGGGTGAAACACCAACCAGTATTCTTATGACACTTTAATTTAGTTACTAAAAATATTGCAATCAGTCACATTACAAAAATGGCTGACCTTCCCCAAGCAATTATTAAGGTCACTGCACCACACAAGAATACCCAACCTTCTCCAAATAATTAATTAAGGTCTTTGATCTCCATACAAAATTGTTGACCTCTTTACCTAGGTCATTCCTTCCCCAATACCACCCAAAATATTCAATATTGTAGCACCAAAATACTCAATATCCCCAAATAAGGAATATTCAATAATACACACAATACTTACAGGTACTGCAACTCATTCTTAGCACCAAGGTGCACACAGTAGGCACCAGTCTCTCACTCTCTTGTTAGGTAGAAGAGATCCTTCCCAGGCATTCATACCAGGACTATTTCTGTGTCCAGTATCATTAGATCGTTTAAAGTAGCGACCGTGAGCACCTCAAGTAGAACCAACATCTCTTCACATCCAGGGAGCTAAAGTGTGAGATGTCCAGAGATCCTTAGGGGAGGTTGCATAGTGGCCATAAGCATTACCCACAAAACCAGGTGGGTTCCTCAAAGTAGAACTGTGGTTGCTGGACCACACATGCTCTCTGACTTCACTGGTCTGTATCCCTTCATTGCTCACAGGCATTTATACCTTGAAACTGTAGCCATAGGTGGTTTAGGCACCAGTGCAAACAAAGGCCTTGGTTCTTGGCTTGGGTATGGTTCATTCTGCCACTTTGCAATTGTTTAATGTGTTTATAAGATTCTTGAATCCTTACACTGTTCGTGGCTATTCATCACATGGGGTAACGATGTGTAATAAGCTCACACCGAGGTACCCAAGATATTTTCCTTGGAGTATAGTTTATGGGTCAATCCCAACACTTCACATATATCTGCTACATTTATCTTTTAACCAGATCAAATTGTCCTCCTATATTTTCATCTGATACCTGAGGTAACTATGTTTACTAATCATACACATACGTAAGAACCATAACCTTCAGACACAGTCACATTTATTCACAATAGTTCATACTAATTGGGCCTTCCTCCTCATCATATAGGTACCTTGAGTTCTCCCTAGTACTATCATTATACAGTAATCCCGTGTTTTTCGTTTTTGTTTTTTTTTATCGCTGTTTTGACTATTCGAGTAGTTCAGTTTAGTTAGTTACGTTTAATCTAGGCTGGAGGGGGGGGGGGGCGGCACTGGCTGTTTGTGTGGGGGACCTATTGATTTGAGTGTCTGGGGCCTGGTGATCTGTGTGTGTGTTGGAAAGCTCTGGAGGACTGTATGGACTGACCGTAGTCAGAATGATTTTAAAGTAAAATTAATATCAGTTGCAGTGACAGTATAAATAAACAGGCCCACATGCCAATTAGTTATTAGAGAAAGTTAGTAGCATAGTAGTAAGTATGGCAAGTAAAGGATGTGGTTTATGGTTGGATTTCAACTAACTTAACCTGCCTAACTTTGATTAAACATAATTAACCTAGACTGAACCACATCAATATTAAGTTATCTATTATACAGTAAATCTACTTTATAAAAAACTTATAGAAGAACAAAAAATTCTGTCTTTTATTAGTCACCTGTATTAACTGATCATGAATTCAGAAAGTTAATTTTGAAGTTAGATAGGATTGAGACTAGTGCAAATTATTAAAAAAAATTAACTTGTGTACAGTTTGAGACAGTTTAAGTACATGTGGTCTACTGATAGAAGGAAATTGTATGTCTAACCTTCATTCTACATAAATAACTCTAAATATATTGCAGGTAACAGATACTTGAAGCCAACACAGAGGAAGCGACAGAACCAACCTTGAGCAAGATGTAACACACCACATGTTATTTCTGCCTCCCCAGTTAAGTTACCTATGTATCTTCGTATGGCTATCCCAAAAACCACTGGATGTAAGACTGAAGACAAGTGACTTGCTTTGTGAGAAGAGTTGGGAAAAAAGGAACATTCAGTGGAGGGGGCCGCTCTTACGTTGGGCAGTGGAGAGGCACTCTTGCATGGGCGGTGGTGGTGTGCTTATACAATGGTTAATAGTGAATGTTATAAATTTATCAGAGTAAAATAACATGTTCTGTGAAGGAATGTTGGGGATGATGCCTTTGAGAAGACTGCTGCAGCCATAAGGAAGGAGGAAGGCTGGTGCTCACGTGTAAGGTGTTAAAGGAGGGTGCTAAGAGTATATGGATATATATATAAGGAAGCAAGTATAGAATGCAAAAAAAATTGGGGTAAATGTTGTGTATTGGTAGTGATACACTAATGTTAATTAAGATTTATCTAAATTTAAAATCTTATTGCAGGTGGTTGGCGTACAAGATCGATGTACCAGATGTGAAAGCAAGATGGCCAGATGACCGCAGCAATTGTACAGTCTACCATCCCACATCTCCATGACTATCACCTTAACCCTTTGGATGCGACATGCGGGTAAACCCGCCCAAAATATTATATTAATTAAATGCGACAAGCGGGGATATCCCACGGCCTTGAAAAAACTTCCCCAAATGAGACGACATGCGGACATATCAAGGACCTTCAATAGGAGTATTTCCTGAATGCAATATAGCTTATTTTTGTACTATTTTGTTTGATATTATCTGAATATGTAATACATATCTAAATTTGCTGTTTAGTAACCAAATTGATTAAATTTATTTGCCATATACCAGACATTGATTTATACCAATTTCCTGCATTTTTGGGTATAAATGTCATTTTTTCTCTAAAATTTGCACACATATGTGAATTTTTGTTCCAGATTTGGAAAATATACTAAAAGTTCTCTAGGAAAAACATATAGAAAATGTGATTATATGAAATTCATTTTTGGCAGGATAATTGACACTTTTCAGGAACCGGCGCGAAATTTAATTACGCACCTAAAGGGTTAAGCACAAACTTTTTTTTTATACAATTAAGAAAATATTTAAAGTACAGTAAAGTAATACAATTAATAATGTATAAGTAAGCCTCGATTCAAGATACAGTGAGTTCTGCTATAACGTGTGTTTTGATAACGCGATTTATGAATAGAGGAACGATATTTTTATAACGCGAACGCTTGTTTGCTGTAACGCGATTTTTGCTTACTATTTCTCCAATTTTGTGGTATTAGCTGTTAATATGGTAAAGAAGAATATCTCCAAGAAGCGTTCTGGTGATCGAATTCCCGGTGATGATCGTAAAAGAAAGGATATAACACTTGAAGGGAAGTTCGATGTTATCAACCTCAAAATCACCCTTCTCCCCCATCAAGTTATATTCATATTTTTTCAAGGTAAAGTGTTACATTTACTGTATGATTTCATTATTAGATATGAATGTAACATTTATTTAGACTGTGCTATCCTTTTTGTTAGGCTAACTAGTAATTTTTTTTCGATTTCGAGTAGTAATCTGCACCTAACCCCATTTTCTCCATAAGCCCTGTCACAGACGTCCGTCTGTGACAACTTTCTACCTCTCACACTCACGCATTTCTTTCTTCAATTGAGCCATGATGTAGGGTAGACTTTTTATGAACGAAACAATAATGATAATTATATCAATTGAAAAGAATGCTAATTGTTTCGTTTTAATAACGAGAATGAAATTTGTCAACTCAAAATCACGCGTTGTCTACTTTGAGTGATGTTTATGGCCATGTGGTGGTGGTGGTGGTGATGGTGTTTATGATCATGGTTTTAAAATTTTATATGAAGGAAGGAGGAGGACCAACTGCTATAGGGGGCGCGACCCTAAAAAGGTTAAGAACCACTGTCCTACACTAATACTAGACAATGTAGGTTTAAACTGCGAATATAAGACTACCTGAATGGTTAGTAAACTTAAGTACCTGGACAGTTCAAGTATAAAAATAAGGCAATTTGATATCCTCTTTTGTAAATCCTGTGTCCAACTTCCTAACTTATTGCCTACTGTAACATATGTGTGTAATATGCAGAGATCTTTCTTCAATACTACCTGTCTAAAGAGAGCAAAAATACTTCATTGCTGGTCTTGGTAAAATAAGTTACTGTACTTGTATTATAAATTGGTCTGAAAATGAAGAGTATGAAGTAGTGATCATGCAACACTGCAGTAGCTCTCATTCTTTATCCGGGCTGGGGACTGGCATGTTCAGTTGAACAAGGCGGAGTTACTACTGTGTACCTACTAACTATGGTGCTGTTACTACTACAGTACAACTATTACACAAAAAAGTTTTACCTTTACCACCTCCAGGAAACACCTTGTTGTAAGTCCACATCAGCCACACAAACCTGGAATAACAAAAGTTTTAGACATCACATAATGTCACAAGTACTTTACCTGTTTGGTGGGGATCTTGTCCTGCCAAATGTTCGCCCCAATCAGTCACCTAAGCCAGCCAACAGTTCACCTGAGACAGCTACACAATCTGAAAGATATAAAAAGACCCTCAGGGTGTGTGAAGGAAATGGTGTGTGGATGGAGAGAAAGGGTGTGTGGAAGGAGAGAAGGGTGCATGGATGGAGAGAAGGGTATGTGGATGGAGAGAAGGGTGGGAGGATGGGAGGATGGGAGGAAGAGTGGGTGGATGGGAGGAAGAGTGGGTGGATGGGAGGAAGAGTGGGTGGATGGGAGGAAGAGTGCATGGATGGGAGGAAGTGTGCGGATGGGAGGAAGAGTGCATGGATGGGAGGTGTGTGATGGAAGGAAGGTGTATGGATGGAAGAAGGGTGTGTGACACACACACACACACACACACACACACACACACACACACACACTCTCACTCTCTCTCTCTCTCTCCACTAGCGTAGCTAGGGGGGGGGGGGTCGCCCCGGGCGGCACTTTTGGGGGGGCGGCACTTTTGGGTCTGCTCATCACCCATATCTGCAGCTACTGGAGACGTTAATCCTTCCCTTTGTATCGGCGGCAAGTTAATCCTTGTCGTGTCTGACCTAACACCTGACCCACATCATCACGGCCACGTCATGAGCTACGTACACCCTTGCTATGCGCCCCCCACCCCGCCACACACAACCTGTAACCTGTTGAGGATTAAGGAAACAACTTCAAACAAGTACGCCAGTGAGCTCATGTGGTGTGGGTCAGGTGTTAGGTCAGACACGACGAGGATTAACTTGCCGCCGATACAAAGGGAAGAATTAACGTCTCCAGTAGCTGCAAAACCATGCAGTCTCGGGTCATATCAGTTCATGTACAGCCGACCAAACCACCAGTTACAAGCAATTCACTTCAGTTCTGCACAAGTCTCCATCGTGACAAGACGAGGGGAGGCTAGACGACTTTTAAGTTCTCTTGTGTTTTCGATCCAGTTATTTACTTCGTTGGAAGACATAATACTATAAGGTAAGAAATATTAAAGTATTGGTTAAAAAATATTGATGTGACTTTTGCTGCGGTACTGAGATTAAATATTAAGATTTTGTTTCACAGCATTGCGATTTTATACTAAGACACTATCCTCACTGGGGTACAGACAAAAGCCCCCCCGACAAAAGCCACCCAGACAAAAGCCCCCAGACAAAAGCCCCCCACGAAAGCCCCCTACTTTGATCGGGGTGGCTTTTGTCTGACAACAGTAAGGCAAACTATTTAATATATATATATATATATATATATATATATATATATATATATATATATATATATATATATATATATATATATATATATATATATATATATATATATATAAAAGAGTGAGTCACTGTGCAATATGTAATTTTTGTGGGGTCACGGGGGCGGCAAACTCAAGGGCCGCCCCGGGCGGCACACACTCTAGCTACGCCACTGTCTCTCTCTCTCTCTCTTCCTCCCATCCACCTAACCCTCCCTCCTACCCACCCAACTCTCTTACCCACCTACCCCCCTCCCCATCAACACAAGGAAGCTTGATATCCTGCAAAACGAGGCAATGAGAATAATTTTAGGATGTCAAAAGAATGCGATGATTGAGATAATATAAATGGAATTAGGGTCACAGAGCATTTCATACAGGTCGATGATATTAATACAATTGCAGCAATTCGATTAATGAGAGAGAATAGTGGGGGTTAAAATTTACAATGTCTGGTTGAGCAAAAGGTCTCGTGATTGGAAAATGGCTTATGCGAGTCCTATCTTCAAGAAGGGCGATCGTCACTCCACGAATAACTACAGACCAGTGAGCCTGACCAGAATTATAAGAGATGCCATGATGGAACATCTATTACGAAACAATCTTGTAAAAGATTGCCAACAAGGTTTTATGCCGGGGCACTCCTGCATAACACAATCAAGGCACGTACTGGATATTTGGACCCAAATCTGAAACAGGGTGGTAAAATCGACAATATATACCTATATTTTGCCAAGGCTTTCGACAGTGTACCCCATGAAAGGCCGAAAATTAAACAAGAAGGGTACGGGATTCGAGGAAATGTCCTAGCGTGGATCAGACTTTCTCCATGACCGCAAGCAGTGTGTGGGGATTAACGGCACGAAATCATCATGTGTACCTCATCACAAGTGAGGTACCACAGGGCAGTGTATTGGGCTCGCTGTTGTTTGTTTCCTTCATAAATGACATGCCTGACACCGTACATTCCTCCATACAAATGTTTGTGGATGATGCCAAGTTATTTCGGGAAATTAAGAACCAAGCGGACTGTGAAGAGCTGCAAAAGGATCTTGGTGAGCTTCAAGAATGGTTGAAGAAATGGCTGCTAAGATTCAATGTCATGAAGTTTAAGAGGCTGCACCTGGGATGTACCAACGGTAAGGAGACTTATCATATATCGCAACAGGATGAAGAAACTGCATTAATTGAGACTGCATGTGAAAAGGATTAAGGTGTGTATGTTGACAATGAGCTGAAGCTCTCGGGCCATTGCGAGAAGAAGGTGAATCAGACAACTAAATTATTAGGTCTTATAAGAGTGAAGTGCTTCCCTGTCTGGTCCCCGACATATGCTTGGAACTGTCAGTCGATTGAAAATGTCCAAAGGAGGGCCACCAGACTGGTGCCTGCACTACAGCACTTCAGCTACCCTGAGAGAGTAGAGCACTTGAAATTGCCTAGTTTATACATTCAAATTAACGAAATACTTTTAAACCTCAAGAGAAATTAAACAGAAATGATTAATACCCTGTAAGGACATAATTTTGATATCTACTGGATGCTTGCTTTGTCTCTGAATGCATCTTGGGCTGATCGTATCATTACATTACAGGTAGACCACCTCATATCTGGCAATCAGTAATCCGGTTCCACCGCTGGTTCGGACATAATTTGGCCACCGTAATTTCAAATTTCGCGCTGGTCTCCTCGCCAACCTGCCGCTACTATTTTGGTGGAGTGAATAGCAGACTCAGCTGTTGGCATGGTGTTTGAGAAGTGGCAAGTTATTCCTTTGTGTTTTTCTTCATTTATTATTATAAACTGCTCTTATTTAGCCCCAGTCATGTCTTCATTGAATAAAGGAAGTGCTTCTCATGGTGTAAAGTGCAAACACCATACATTGACTATACAAGATAAGGTTGAACTTCTCAAAAAACTGGACAGTGGTGTGTCTGTTCGCAGCATATGCGACTTGTATAACATTGGCGCTTCCACAGTGTATGACATAAAAAAACAGAAAGGAAAGCTGCTCCAGTTCTTTGCTGATAGTGAATCAAAGAAAAAAATTTCCAAAAGGAAAGCATTGAAAGATGGAGGACATTCACAGCTAGATAAAGTTCTAATAAAGTGGTTTAAATTCCGCATCAGTGAAGGTGTGGAACTGTCTGGGGAGATGGTGAGGGAGCAAGCAAAATTATTTCATGCAAAATTAGGAATAGATTATGCGTGTGATTATACTGAAGGGGGCTTCAGCAGTTCAAGCAGCGACATGGGATAAAGTTTCGTGCAGTGTGTGGTGAAAAAAGGTCGGTAGACAAGGAAGCAGCTGCTGCTTTTGTGGACGAGTTCACTAAGTTAGTTTCGGATGAAACTTTAAGTCCGGAACAGGTCTACAATGCAGATGAAACCGGCTTATATTGGCATTGGACTCCCAGGCAAACAATAAACACTGAGGATGCAGAATCACCAACAGGTTAAAAAGCATTGAAAGATCGTGTCACGGTGTTGGGCTGCTCTAACGCTGCAGGAACCTACAGGTGTAAGTTGTTACTCATTGGCAAAAGTTTGCGCCCCAGAGCCTTCAAAGGTATGAAACAGTTTCCAGTTATTTACAGGGTTAACAAAAAGGGATGGATAACAACTGACATTACATTACATTGGATTGGTTTGAACCTTACTTTGTTCCAGCAGCGAGAGCTCATTGTGACTGTAAGATAATGCTGATTTTTAGATAACTGCTCTGCGCATTCAAAAGCAGAACTCTTGGTGAAGAATAATGTTTACGGTATCTACCTGCCACCTAACTGTATGTCATTAATTCAACCCCTGGACAATGGCACATTACGGTCTTTAAAGTCTAAATATCGCTCCAAGTTTATGGAGCGGCTACTGAGTGCAGTTAACTCTGGCAAACAAGTAAAGGAATTTTTTAAAGAATTTAATATGAGAGATGTGATTTATGGAGTTCCTAATGCTTGGCAGTCAGTAGAAGCATCAACATTGAAAAATGGCTGGCATAAATTGTGGCCAGCTTTAATGTTCAGTTCTGCACCTGGTGAGAAAATTGGAAATGAATTTACAGGATTTAGGGTTTCAAATCAAAATTAGATGGTACGTGAACTGCTTTCTTATGCTCAAGATCTCAGTAATCCTACTGCGAAGGAAGATGCATCGAGGCTGGATGCAGATAACATTAACGAGTGGATGGGTGTTGATAATGAACCAACTGTTCATCATTATACTGACGTTGAAATTGTTCAGATGGTTGTAAATCCAGAGACAAAGAACAGTGGGTGAAAAAGTAATGATGAAAATGAGGAAGAGGTAGCTGAAAGAATGTCCATTGATAAGCTAGTTAATGACAGGTGAATTGATTAAAGGTCTCGAACAATGCAGTTTTATTACTGAACAGGAAATAATGAATGTTTGCATGTTGCAAGAAGAACTAACCAAAGAAAGACCAAAAATACATAAAACAGGTTAGCTTGCAGGATATGTTCAGAAAAATAGCAGAGAAATAAATCTACAAGACAGGAGTCAACACTTCAAAATCCAGTGCCATCAACTTCTGCTCACCCAGATGTGCTGGCACCACCATCACCAGTTCTTGAAGATATGCCAACTTCATCACCAACACCAGATACAGAAGATTCAATCATCTTTTTAGATGAAACACAGGACAGTCCTGATGACCCCCCACTTTAAGACATGTAACACTGCTTAGTTGTACAATCCAACTCTTTACTTTGGAAGTGGCAATAACCAACCTTCTGATGCAAGTAACTACAAATACCTTTTAAGTATTTTGCCTGTACTTCAATAAATTTCACTTGCTTTTCATATGTTGTTTCTCTTCTTTTTATTATCCAACTTGTACTATTTACAGAGTATTTTAAAGGTAGGGTAAGGTGGTTTTGAAGTGGGTTACAGGTGTTTATTTATTTAATCCTAACCTAACAACCTGTGTTTCAGTAAAATCACTAATCCGGCACTGCTCAGGTCCCAATCAGTCCGGATTTGAGATGGTCAACCTGTACTTGGTTGCCGGTCAAAGCATGAAGTGTTACCTCCATTTTATTTTGTCAAGATAAAACCATTCATTGTTTCAGTGTTCAATTTGTTTCTTGTATTGGTCTTGATTAGTTTAATCTGAGAAAAAATTCTCTTTACTACAGCTGATGAATGTGGTAAAACCAACAAATCAAACATAAATTTTGATAACATAGGAAACATCAAAGCCCCATCATTATGCTTTACTTTTGTTACTGAAAACCAAAATTCACAGGGGTTTTCAGTGTTTCTCACATGATCCAGTGAAATAAGAGAGCTCTCCATTCATCATTGCACTGGTCATAGTCAGCTTCATCAATGAGTTGAGGGAACTTAGAAAATATAGGAACTAGGCTCCTAACATAACATTCTCTCACTACAGTTGGATCACAGACATTGAAAAATGGTAACACCTTATTCATACCTTTTAAACGTTTAAATATTTGATTAGCCAGTTCAATATAAAAGTTAAGACATTTGACTCTGAAATCTGATAATTCAGATATTGTAACAATATCCTTATTCCCTAACATATTTTTAACCTTAGTGCCAAAATACCATTTAGTCTCTGGCAAGAAATTCGAAGGATCATTACGGCTTACTGTGAAAACATCTGAGGCTGGCACAAGAATATTTCTCTTAATGTAATTTCCAAGAATTGTTTTATAGAATCCGCAGATATTAGAATAAGCTACGTGTATCTTCACAGTTTCACTTTGGTATTCTTTGTTCATTTTATTGATGATTGGTAACATATAACTTAAAAGGGAAAAATACAGCTTAAAGAGAGGTGTATTCAAAACATCAAGAATTTGTTTTGCAGTTGTCTTATGACCTTCTAAGGCTTCAGGTTGAAAAAATAATTGAAGAGCCGACCATTGTTCTAAAATTCTATTTACTACTGGCTCTAAAGATAACCATCTAGTCTGGCATGGGTGAGAATCCTGTGACAATCAATTCTCACAAACTCCTGAATTTCTTTGAATTTACCAAACCTTTTAGGGCTGTGATTCAAATAACTATGGATATCTCTACATAATTCTTCAGAGGAACGTGGAAGTCTAAGACAAGCAGAAGATGAACACAGATGCAATGAATGACATATGCACCCTATTACAAGCAAATTAGGGGCTATTGTCTGTAGTTTTAGTTTCAACCCTCCCATATTGCCCATCATAACAGATGCATTGTCTGCAGCATAACCAAGCATATTTTCAAAAGGAATTCCCAGTCTCAAAGAACTGCTTTAGAAGTTGAAATAAAGCCTCAGCACTAAAATACTCTGCATCTAAACAACTTTTTAACCCTAAAACCTCGGATTAGGGTGCTGCTGGCAGTACCCCCCCCCCCCCCCCGCGGGGATAAATCAAGAAAAATCAACTTTTCATAAAATACTAATAAAAAAAAAAGTGGCGGGAAAAGTTGGACGTTCTGGAACGTCACCCGGGGCGCGCTGGTCGGATGTTCTACAATGTCACCCAAGGCCTTAGGGATAATAGCTTTCATGGATACCTGGATATGTAACAGATACAGTATTCGTTTTTTAACCTAATTTGAGGAGAGTTGTCGCTTCTAAAAATCACGTGCAAATGAAATGACTAAAAAATATCCCTTATGTAAATGCATCGTAAAGACTATTTCTCTCACTGCCTATTGTAACTGTGCAAGTCTGTCAGACTATATTGTGGTTTGTGGCCGAGCACCATAAGGATTATAATCTTAACTGGTTTCCATAACTTTCAAATGGAATTGGGAAAAAGTTTCAAAAGTACTACAATGGTACAAAAAGGGAAAAAGGTATCCCAAATGTAAAAATTTGCTCATTTCATATAATTTTGGTCAGCTTCATAAGAAAGTATCCACTTGGTCAAAATGCATCCAAATCATACTTTTGTATCCCCACTGGGAACACTGGTGCTGCTGTTTGACGGAAATTTGTCTGCTAGACACTAAGAAAAATGAAATTTGATGACGTAGTCGGTAGACCGTGACGTCACTGTACCGGTCTCGGTAGCTCGTCGGAAAAATACCAAAATTGTTAATCAGGCCTTTTTGGGGGTCAAATGCAAAATAAAAATTATATAGAATAATTATGAAGGTATTTTATTTAATTCCCTTCATTTTATAATTGATAGTTGAGCAATAATGCTTTATGATGAGTTGGCATGAGAGGATGACGTCTACTAGGAACACAAAGACAGTCATTTCATTCTGTTCCATGTTTGAGTTCCAGGGGTGGATCCAGAAATATCAAAAGGGGGAGGGTCCAAGAAGTTTTGGGTATGGGTACCTGGCCAGCAAAGTGGGCCCATCCATCTGGGGGAGGGGTAGGTTGAGGGGTAGCTGTTAGCCCCCCCCAAACTTTTTTTTTTTAAATCTGACCAATATCATGGGCATTTTGAGGCCATTTGAAGCTATGTGCACTTGATATGAGGGGGTATTCTGAGGTCAATAGTAAAGAATTTTTACTACTGTATATACAAAAATGCTTGAGTACAATACTGCATTAAGTAAAAGTATTGGAGTTTTCTGATGAAAAGGGGGGGTCCCCACGCTGGATCCGCCTTGAGTTCAGTGCCTTTCATACGCCTTTCACTGCAGAATCTTTTTCTAAAGTACGTACACGCCGTTATACAACGACTTTCGGTGAGTTCTTTATTCTTAGTTCTTTACAGTATTTGTTGTTATCTTATCAGACATAATAGCTATTCTTTTTAACAGTGCATTTTCTATGATATTCACCAGTGGTATCACTCCATTTTCTACTTGATCATTACGGCTTATTATTATTAGAAGTTCTAGAACTCTTTTTATTTCTTTTCTTCAATACATTACCGCTCCACCTGATTTTAAAGTTGTATAAAGAATCTATTGTGCAATATTTCATACTGTATATATGCATAATAATAGTAAAAAGAAAATGAATTGTTACTGATTACTTTTACTTTTATCCTCTACGCCACTGATCAGCTCGTTAGCCGCTTGGGCGATCGGTCACGTCTCTGATTACTTTTCCTTTTCATTTATCCTCTTCACCAAAAGACCGGCTCGCTAGCCGCCCGGGCAATTGGTCACGTCTCTGTCACGCACTGTTGGCAAGTACTAGGCATGCACCGGCTCCTGAATGTACCTGAACCCGCTCCAGTGTTGGTCAAGTCTTGTCTTGAAAGAGCTCGCACTCGATGCCATCACAACACTCTCTGGTAGATTGTTCCAAGAGTTTACAACCCTCACTCCGAAAAACTTTGCCCTCACAGTTTTCTGGACTTGCTGCTTCTTCAAACTTGAGCTGTGACCCCTTGTGGGGCGAGCGTCCGCCAGCTCCAAGTAAGGACACTCAACTGAGCAGTGCCCCCTGAGATGCTTATACACCTCAACTAGGTCACCCCTTGCCCATCTGTAATATAAACTAAGCAAGTTCAGGCGCTCCAATCTGTCAGGGTAGCTGAGGTACCGAAGTGCAGGCACCAGTCTGGTGGCCCACCTTTGAACATTTTCAACCAACTGACAGTCCCTAGCATATCTCGGGGACCAGACGAGGTGACAGTACTCCAGATGGGGAAGCACTTCACTCTTGAAGATCGTTACGAAGGACGGACCGTCTAGATATCTGAACGACCTTCTTATAAGACCCAATAATTTATTTGCCTGGTTTACCTTCTTCTCGCAATGGCCCGAGAACTTCAGCTCATTGTCAACATTCACACCTAGGTCCTTCTCGCATTCAGTCTCAACTAGTGCAGTTTCTTCATCCTATATATGTATCACATTTAACAAAGAAAACATTTTTATGACGTCATGGTTTCGTAGCCAGTCAAAACGCGGGGAAGATTACCAATCAGAGCATTCGGTAAAACACAGTCAGAATTTTTTCGTAAGATGGCAGGTCAGTGGGTAAAAAAAAATGCTTAAATTCACTATGGTAATATTTTTAAATAAATTGGGCCAAAAAGTGTCAAAATTAATGGTTAAAGTTGCTAAAAAGTCATGTGACTGCAAAAAGCTCTGTAATTAGTTGTGACATCACTGGTTGGGGGTGAACTTTCTAGCAGGAGGCAGCCAGCTGTAGTTGTCCAAACTTCTCGGCTGATCGGCTCAGTAAATAAATATAATTAGATAAGTAATTGTGCTTAATTGTGCAACACAGTAATAATATTTTGAATATACTGTATAAATGTTTCTAAGCACATTAACTAATTCAATGGATATTAGCTGCCCATACAAAAAATTTCATAATATAAACATTCCAAACAATATATATAACATTTTGGTTTTGGTCATTTGGGAAACCTTAAAATTCTAACTATGGGATTAAATACTTTAAACAAAAAGACACATTACCTCTACAGGATTTCTGTCGCTAAACATTTTTCGATCGCATACGAAAATGCAGATCACAGGTTAGGTTAGGTTATGACGAGTTACAAGGTTAGCTTAATATACCTCGGAAAAGGGGGGGGGGGAGGATTCTAACTCAAAACTAGTGATTTCCGATTTAAATGAAGGTCAAAATCGTTAATAACACATCGCAAACCATCAGAAAAAATATGGTAAATTTGTACTGTCACACTGCACTCTGTTAGAAAGTCAAAAATATACTTTTTCTAGTGTATTTGTGTGTGTTTAGACCGAATATGACCTTCATTTCTGGCGGAAATTAGCCGTTTTTTATCAAATTTTTTTTGTTGGATGTTTTCCGAAAAAAAAAAAACATGGCAAAATACACCAAAACACACTAGAAAAACCAAAACCAAACCTAACTGACTCTCACCATATGATGGAATCACCTATTTCTTACCTTATTGGCCTGGTTCTTGTTTGTCGTTGGATTTTGAGATTCTTCCACAACGCCACATATGTTGGTCTTTGCGATATTTACATTCAGTCTTGCTCTTAGTACACTTTACTGAGGTTGGAAGAACACCATGCAATCAAAAAATGCTATAGTTTCTTCGTTTTTCCCCCAAAACTCGCAATCAGCTCCATATAATTTAAGTGACACCCATCACAGACTTCCATGGTCGGAACTAAACTTGAATTTTGAAATATAAGAGACCCAAAATAAAACTCGAATTTGATTGGACCAAATATACAGCGAATTAAACCCAAAATCATTTTAATTGGTTGCAAAAACAAAAACGCTTTTGATTGGCTGCATAATGTGTACGGGAACGCATGTGCGTGATGAAGGAGACGCAGGAGACACAGTGTTGGAGGTGAGGCAGGCGATAATGGCGTAAGATTAATGGAAGATAATAGTGAAAATTTTGGAAATGCTATCTCCGTTATTATACATTTCCGCCGGTAATGTAATAGATGAAAATTATCTTATAATTAGATGTCTTATTAGAATATGATAATAGATTAGTGGTCGGAATGTGCGGTGTGTAAATGCAAAAATACCAGAAATATAGTATGCATGTCTAAATACAGGGATGACCAAAACGTAAAACTTACCCAATATAGCCTATCTCGAATCTAAACACCAAAACACTTATGGTAGTTATAGTAAAATTTTACCCATTAATTAATATAAGTGATGATATATCCCAGTGGTTCATCAAAACAATAACAGCACTATGTTGTCATGTTTAGCTTACATCAGGTAGTATCAAAACAAAGTCCAGACAATGTAATCAGTTTTAAATTTACTCCCATTTCCAGCTAGTTCTGATATACTCTGTAAATGCTGGTGTGAACGTGGGAGTTTATGTCCAAAAGTACATAAGAATGGAGGACACTGCAGCGGGCCATACTGGGCAGTTCTATTTACACCCAACCCCTATCCTCATATATCCATCCAACCTATGTTTGAAGCTGCTCTTCGCGGCACATTTCTTCACTTACGAAATGTCCATGACTTGACCATAAAAAAAACACCCTTAAAACTTATCTGAACGTGGTAATTGGGGTCTGAAGAGGCCATCCTCTCTACTACCTACGACTACAGCCCAGTGGTATTTGAAACTAGTGACGTCATTGCATATGGCGGTCCTGTTTCTAGAAAAATAAAATTATCTCGACTATTATAGCAGGACTTTAAATTTTTATTACAAATTATATTTACCGTATCACTCTACGAACGTGGCAGAGTATATTTCTTGTATTTGCCCAAAACCGTCAACTCGTCCATTACGGCAGCCCTGCCAGGCAGTAATAATAATTCAGTGTTGCCACTCCTTGGGTTTTTCTACTAGATCTTGGGTTTTATGCTTCAACCTTGGAGTCAATTTCAATTTCAATTGTTTATTCCTTGATAGAGGAAGCGGGATCCTAGTGCTGTCACTAGGTACCCCTGTACAATGAAAACAGAAGCATCTGGCAAGTGTGACAAGTATATACAGTATAAATATTATAAAGGGGCTTACTAAAGCCTAAGGAAGGAAGGATATTCCTTTAACACATAATAAATGTAATTTACAAAATATCTGGCCAGCATGGGGAGGATCATCGTGTCTCCGTCAGGGGGTCGTGGAGTGGTGGTCCAGCAGCCGTCACGGAAGCGTTGTGTGTGGGGACATCTTAGGAGGTAGTGGATAAGGGTGCTGCTGTCGGGTCTTCTGCATAATGCACAAGAGCGTGTAGTGGATTTCTCCCCTACAAACGCTGTTTGTCGCTGAGTAGCCGACCCCGCGAATTCCCCAGTGTATGCCTCATGGTCTGGGTCAACCAGCGCCGCCATACATCACGGAGGTCAACTACTAAGCCACGCCTACCCCCGCTATTTAAGACCTGACCTCGTGGTGACCTCTCCATTCTTCTAGCTACAGCCGCAGCAAGCAACACCACCTCCTCCGCCGCTGCCTGGCGGCCCTCGCTCCCACCGGCGAGCATGGCGACCCACAAGCTGTCCTCCTCTGAGCACCCTCACCAACCAGTTTTCTCTACATCACGCTTGTAACCACGCTGCCACTTCCCAGCACCAAGCTGCATTGTACATCCAATACAACATGTATACAGAGAGCACATTGTGAGTTTCCTTTCTCCATCCCATCCTGAGTGTGAACCCAAGTATTGCTCAGGGGATGCGGGGATACCAATCTCCCAAGCAAAGTCATACCCAATGATGATACGGGCAGCAATCACGTCCCCTTTCCGGTAGACGTACGAGAGGTCAGGAAGTTTACGGAGGACATCGTGTAGTGGATGCCTCCCCTACAAACGCTCTTTGTCGCTGAGTAGCCGACCCCGCGAATTCCCCAGGGTATGCCTCGTGGTCTAGGTCAACCAGCGCCGCCTTACATGACGGAGGTCAACTATTAAGCCACACCTACCTCCGCTATAAAAGACCTGACCTCGTGGTGACCACTCTCTTTTTCTACCTACACCAACCAGCAAACACATCACCTCCT